ATATATATATATATATACATATATAAATGTCCTTGGTGTAATTCTAGTTATACTGGTTTGACTACAATGTGGGTAGAAACATGCAAATTTAGTGACAAATAATAAGTCAAACAAGAAGTTAACTGAATATTATACAGTAAAGTCACTGCATAATAGCAAGTCTTAACCATATTTCATGTTGCACCATTAGACAACTAAACTCACTCATGCGGCAAGAAGAGGTTCTTAATTAAACTCACCTGGTGCCAAGAGACTTGAACTGGACTGAGGAGCAGAGGATGAAGTTTTCCTTCTGTGGTTTTTTATTCCAGAAGGTCGACGTAAGTGTTTGGGTAGCAGAACTTCTGGGAAAAAATTGCACTGTTTTTTAACTTATATAAAAATAGTTTATAATAACACTGAAAACAAAACTTCTGAAAAAATTTCACTGTTTTTTTAACTGATATAAAAATAATTTATAACAACACTGAAAATTCCAACTTGAATGGCACCTTGTGTACATGTGGGCCAAACAACCAGGTCAAAGTCTCCAAAATTTTAGGCCTTAGCCAAACCTAATTTTTAACATCTGACTAAGAGGAAGGTTTGTTCATTTGTTGCTACGTAAAAAAGCTACACAATGGGCTATATGTGCTGTGCCCACCACAACTACCAATACCCAATATTCAGCATTATAAGGCCTTAGACTTCCTGTTGAGCCATCAGGGAGCCCAAAGGGAAGGCCATCATCAAACAATACTTACCACCACAAAGGCTTTTGTTCTGCTTTTTGAAGTGAATAAAGGGGTGATTGTCACTTTTTATAATCCAAAACCTTTCGATCTGCAAAACACATCAACTGGCTTTGCCCACTTCCTTATAAAAACATACATACATACATTTTAATGGTAAAATATGCAAGTGCCATACAATCATTATGTTTTTAAATTTCTGTCATATTTTTGGAAATACTGATATATTAATAATAGGAGATGTTTGGCTTTAGCCAGATCAAATGGTCCATTACACTCTCTCGTTTTAAAATCACAAATGTTAATCTTCCTCTAGTTCTTAGCAATGGCCATGATAGATTGTTCAATGATTTTGTGAGCAACACTTAAATCAGTCCTTTTGGAAATTTATCTGTAATGTCCAAATACCTGTCACAGTTCATAACTCATTTTCAATTTGTAGGAGAAGTACAGTGAGGGTACAGTAGGTTAAATTGTTTACACAATGGGTACAGTAGACGAAGTTGTTTACACACTTGTAAATCGGTACAGTAGAAGAAGTTGTTTACACACTTGTAAATCGGTACAGTAGACTAAACTGTTTATACACTTGTATGTCGGTATAGTAGACTAAATTGTTTAAATACTTGTATATTGGTACACTAGACTAAGCTGTTTAAATACTTGTATATTGGTACACTAGACTAAGCTGTTTAAATACTTGTATGTCGGTACAGTAGACTAAATTGTTTACACACTTGTAAATCGGTACAGTAGACTAAACTGTTTACACACTTGTAAATCGGTACAGTAGACTAAACTGTTTATACACTTGTATGTCGGTACAGTAGACTAAATTGTTTAAATACTTGTATATTGGTACAGTAGACTAAACTGTTTTATTACTTGTATGTCGGTACAGTAGACTAAATTGTTTAAATACTTGTATGTCGGTACACTAGACTAAACTGTTTACAAACTTGTATGTCGATGCAGTAGACTAAACTGTTTACAAACTTGCATGTCGGTACAGTAGACTAAACTGTTTACACACATGTATGTCGGTACAGTAGACTAAACTGTTTAAATACTTGTATGTCGGTACAGTAGACTAAACTGTTTACACACTTGTACAATTTACAATTTTAAAATCTACTCTGTCACCTTTTTCCACAGACAATATCCAGCAGTTGATGGCCACGGTTTCTTTTAGTTTCACAAAAATATAACTATGATTACTACTGACGATGTGCTCTGATAACAGACATTTTCATACAAACCATCTATGGTAAAGATGCTCCTCTGAGATGAACACCTAATATTCCCCTTTAAAGGTGAAAGAGTTCCTTGTAGACATGCAATTTTCCTTTACTGAATGCAAGAAATCACTTGGTATATCACATCAGTTTATTTTGTACATACAAATGCAATACTCCACAAATATGTGTGTGGGTTCTAATAAATAAAATAGTTAATGTAATTTTCTCCCTCCTTTTTGGCCAAAAGCAACTGATATAAATATTTTCACTGTAAAAATTATAACAAATTAAAATATGACTACAAATATAGGAATATTTTTATTCTTGACATTTCATTAAGTCTTTTTTCAGTTCTAGACTATGTTTGTATGATATAACTATTCTTTGATAAAATTGAAACAGCAAAACATTGGGAATAAAAATACATTTTTCGGTGATTAATCATATTTATTAAAAGTTTTAAAATGTCTACCATTCTCCAATGCTTATCACTATAATTAAACAATATAATGAAATAAGGATTTTTCTGTTTCTACTTCATCAATTTTGTTAATGTTTTTGGCAAAGAGAAAACTTGCAAATAAAATCTGTTTCAATTCTGTGTCTGAAAGCTCTAAGAATATTGGATGGATGATTAGTACCTCAAAAATATAACACCTGATTACCTGAGCCTCTGAAAAAGCAGTTAACTACCTGATTTTATTCCTTTTGCCGTAGCCAGTTTCCTGACTGGTTTTGTGGTCTCTGGTTTGTGAGATCCTTCCTATGGAACATAACCACATTACTAATATTAATAATATAATTTACTTTTAGAGAATTCATTACTGGTTGAAATATTGAATATTCTCTTATTTCTATTTCAAATTAATTTCAGAGTAAGTTAAAAACACATAATGAATTCCAAACAAACAGAAAACAACATCAGAAATGTTACACCATCTATATTAATAAGAAAATTCAAAAAATCTTGTATCACAAACAGAGACTTGTAAATAAAACATAAAAGTAATGAATGAAAATGCACATATACTACACCCAAATTTCATATTACCAGCTTGTTTTATAGCACTAACCACCAATGGGGTTCAGATGGTTATTAAATAATTTATCTTGGTTTTTGCCTGTTATAACACTCACTACAAAGATAACAAACATGAAGAGAGCATGCAGAACTATTTCTGTTCACCAGTTCAGAATGACTGCAATCTCCTTGGAATCCATTTTAATTGTTAAGTGTCTTTGCTTCTTTTAAATGTTTCTTAGTTCCTCACACATACCTATCCAAAAGTGAATATTACATGAGACCTCGCTGCTTTATGTTCTCGTCAACGTTAACTGTGCAGCATATATTAATATATATACTGTAATGCGAAAACAATAGATGATAAAAACTATAATCTAGTGTAACTTAGTGTGGCTTTAGCTATACAAGTTAGTTTGGCACACTTTTAATATCTACATATAAATTTGTAGAGGTAACTCAATGAATTATTACAAAATAACTTGTAGATGGTAATCCAGTGGTGTGTTATAACAACAGCTTGTAGATGTTAATGAAATGGCTTGCCACAACAATGGTTTGTAGAGATAACTCAATGAATTATTACAAAATAACTTGTAGATGGTAATCCAGTGGTGTGTTGTAGATGTTAATGCAATGGCTTGCTACAACAATGGTTTGTAGAGGTAACTCAATGAATTATTACAAAATAACTTGTAGATGGTAATACAGTGGTGTGTTATAACAACAGCTTGTAGATGTTAATGAAATGGCTTGCTATAACAATGGTTTGTAGAGGTAACTCAATGAATTATTACAGAATAACTTGTAGATGGTAATCCAGGGGTGTGTTATAACAACAGCTTGTAGATGTTAATGAAATGGCTTGCTACAACAATGGTTTGTAGAGGTAACTCAATGAATTATTACAAAATAACTTGTAGATGGTAATCCAGTGACATGTTAACTAAAACAATGGCTCATAGATGGTAATAATATAGTGTGTTATAACAATAGCTTGTAAAAGGTAATTGCATTGCCACATATGCAAGTTTTGGCACAAGATTTAGCATCTACATACTTGGGTCACAATGAATTATTCTTGACCATTTGACAGTGCAATTTTGTTACAGGTAAACTTATTGACAGAGGAATAAGACACTGCCTTTCTGAGAAAGGATATTCACATAGTGAGCTTCATAAACAAATCAAAATGTTGAGAAGGAAGCCAGAAAAGAAAAAAAACAACCACACAGTAAAGCATTTAGGATAGCAACAGGCTCCAAAACTACACCCCAAACTAATCCACAGCAATGCCATCACCCACAAAGTGAAGACTATGGTTACATAAGAGAACAGTCTTTCAGAAAGTCAACATAATGAAGCGAAGCTTATCTTGTGATACCAATAACTCTTTCAGCATGGGCTTGGTCCCTGGGACTGACCTCGTAACCATTTTATGTTTGTTACAGTTTTAATCCTTTAACTTTTAAATTAGTAAGTGAATGTTAACGAAATTTTACAGATTATCAGTAAAAATTACAATGTTTTCACACACAAAATATTCTTTTTTTTTTTTATTTTAAAGTACTTAAGGTTTAGTAAAGACAATGTTTTTCTTCATGCCAATGTTTTCTTTTTGCATGTTGCCTATCTATCATGCAAAGTAATTTTCATTTTAAGATTAAAAATACGTTTAAGCAGTCAGAAAATTTTGAAATTTCACATGCAAAATCTTTATAATGTCCAGATAGTTATCAAAC